GTTTAGCCTTCTTTTGCAAGTAACCCCGATGATTTTGGGGGCGAATCACCGCAAATCAAATAACTAACTACCTATACAAGCCACAAAAAACGACTTCGTATTCTCAAAGAATAAAAACCTGCGATGTCCAACAAGCCCAATTTTCGAAGCACAGCAAAATTCCTAGGCCCCTCATACAATTTCCTTTAAAGGATGAAGATACTAGACAAAACCTCACGTTTCCGCCCCTCCCCAAGACCTAGCTCTTACCACTGCTCCACGCAGGTAAAAGAAGGCTGTTACTAAAACATGATTGAACCCTTTTTCTAGAAGAAACTGGTCAGACACAACATATGTAGCAAAAAATCAAAAAAAAAAAACACGGAGATTCAAAAGTATCATTTGATGTAACTGAAACCCTTTTGTTTAGACCAGTGTGCGGAAAGTTTCACGTGAAAAGTGGATGTTTTATAGTCAAAAAATTTCAGCAATCTCGATTGCTCGGCTGTCAATTTATCGCCTTGTTTGCAAACAACATAATCAGCCACTAATGTCACCATACCTGAAAAAAAAATTTTTGCTGAATAAATAGCAGTACACGCTTCGATGACCGGCAAAAGCATGTGTTTCTTGCACAAATTTGTCCGCAGAGATCAGGCAGTATGTGTACAAAATTGGCGTTCATTTCCCTGAGTTCACCGCTTGTAATCCCAGTAAAGTCAGGAGGTATTAGAAAAGGCCAAATACTAAAATCACAAAATTTTATTTTTTTTTTCTAGCTGATTTGATCACAGAAGTTGAAAACGGATGATAGCCGAAAAAGTGCACAGACGTAACAGACAGACACACACACACGCGCACATACATACATGCAAACAAACACACTCACATACGCAAAGGTACGACAAAGCCCCAAAAAGATGCCCTTTCTCGTTCGCATAAACGAAAAACACATTCCAAAAATACATATGTATATTCCAAAAAAAAAAAAATATTCTTTTAAATTTTCCAAAAATTAGGCTAAAAAAAATGAAGAACGCTAAAGTTTACCTTTATCCAATTTCGTCGGTAATCCAAGCTTCCTCAGCTGTGGTTCTACGGAAAAAGGAAATTGCGGTAAAGGTCCCTCGGATAATTCAACCGTACTTGTAGCCGTCTGACCGCATCGAGCGTAATCCTGGATATGCAATTCCTTAAAATACCTAAAAATGGCGATAATTACAGTGGAGAAAAGTAAGCCATTACAAGGTTTTACAAAAGTTTTACAATATGTGGGGGCTAAACTTCTACCTCGAGACAAGAGCTCATTAAGATGACTTTACTGACAAGCACTGTCCAGCAAAAATCGGTGGTTTAGCTTCGTCAGTGGGTAAATCAGTCCCGGAGGGATCTGTTCATTGATTTGATCCGCATACTGATGCCGGTGTATGTTAAAGAGTTAAAACCATAACCCAGGGGGCGAAATTTCCCCGGCAAAACTGTAAGCAATTTCAGAAGCGGAAGCCACCAATAATCTCGTTAACGAGTAATTAATTGAAATATTTTAACGACTTTCGAATGCTTCTGCTTTTAACAGAAAGTAATATAAATGAAAAAAATGAAAAAAATTCATAAATTTCTTAGGTAATCGTAAATGAAAAAAAAAAAATAAACCAGAAAATTAACCAAAAAACAAAACCTCAAAAATAATATGTTTTCACAAGTTATAAGAAAAATCATAATAAATAAAATCAAAAAAAAAACAAATGACTATAAAAAACAAATAAGGCAAAGCAAAAAACAAAGCACAAGAAAATCAATTAATAACAAGCCCCAGTTTTTTCAATCTAATAGGGGAGAATGGGACATCCAGGATGACAGCGGGAGAGAGGGAAAGGAGGCAATGGAGGATCGGGAAGAGACCCATCCTGCCCTAGAGCTATGCAAAACTAGGAATAGAGGGAGGGCAACTTTTACGATTTTCATGAAACATAAGAAAAATCAAATGCCCACCAAAAAAAGCGAAGTTTCAGAGGTTCTTTCTTTTGGAGGAGCTATTGTTCATCATATGCTAAACTCGCCACGACTTTATCTACAAATCATTAATTTTTGCGCTCCAACACGTTTTGCCATCTATCTGCAAGTTGGCAGCAGAGGTGAATTCGAATAACTTACGTTATCACAGCTTTTCTTTTTTCATTCGTGAACATTAATCCACATTCACCTTTCAGCATTCCACTCATCTAAAACAAAACAATGATGAGGTAAGCAGCCTAAAAAGCCTTAGATTTTATGTGTAGAAATCGATATGGAAAGGTATCTCCTCAAAATTTAAAAGTGGTATCGTTCGAAACAAGGTAGTTAGGCTCTACATACATCAATTATAAGTCAAAAAAGGCAAAAGTTTGTCAAGCGCACCTGCCGAGTACAGCCGCGCACCGACCAAAAGAAGAGGTTGGTTGTCAGGTTAATCATTAGGTAAAGAAGCATTGCTAGTTACACAGTTGACGAACCAGACTATGTTGGTGCAAATAATTCAAGGTAAAAGTCACAATATATTTTTTTTTTTTGGTAGATAATTCTAGAAAGTGCCCTCTGCCTCTACTTTATCCGCCCCTTTTTGTAACTGTCTGACTAGAAGCAAAAGTGTTTCATCAGACAATTGCAATATTGTACGGAGGCAAACTGTGGCTGATTTCCATGCAATCTCGAACAAAACAAATTATGAGTTGTTACATTCCCTTTTTTAACCTCATGTTTTCGCTATCTTTGATTTGTTAATTTAACACTCCAATTACAGCAGGTTTCAAAAGGTCAAACATATGGATTCCTAAAATACTAGCATTAAAATATATAATAGATCTGAGAGATAATGGTACCTAATTTTAGCGGAAAATCTGGAGCTGTATAACAAGGGGACTTTGATTTTTGGGATATAAAAAACTCGCGATCCCTGCAAAATAAAAAAACAGAACTCTCTCCCCTTAACACCGTTTTATCTAGGCAGGTCAATTCGGACTTCCTGGAAAGCGAAATCAGTGAAAATTATATTGGTACATTTCTTACAAGCTTTGCTTAGTAATTTAAAAAAAAAAGAAAAACGACGGGTCTTTATGGCTACTGGTTTTTAGCTCTTGTACATTTACTACAAGCTAAGAAACTAACAAATCTGAATATGTTTAACCAACAGCAGGCTACAGAAATGATACACAAAACTTGCAAAAGATTTATAAATCGGACGAAGGTAAGCAGCACTGAGAGAAGAGCTGATGAAATTACCTTGCTCAGTCCAGGCGCTTGCTCAGTGGCAGGATCTCGCCCCAGCGCTATTGCCATGACGTTGTTTTTGCCATAAAAAAACCGGGAATTTGTTTTGAATTTTTGCCTTATCTGAAATAAAAAGCAATAAGAAGCAATATTCATCATAATAAGTGTTTCAGAAATTTTAAAAATACAAAAAATGAATATTCCTGGCCAGGAGACTAGAAGAAGAAGTCTTCTATGTGTTAACATATGCAGTTTGTTTGGCGCTGCTGGCCCATCGTGGAGAAGAAAACAATCGAATTTTGACAATTAACGAAAACTGGAAGTGCCATTTACTTTACAAAGAAAACCAAAACCATCCAGGCAGTCGATGGAGGGATCATATGTTATTAAATGTTGCTGGGGTGCTTCCACACGCCAGGCACATTTATATCAGGTTCCTTAATCATAAGGTACGGTGCATAGCCCCATCTGTCATCTAAAACCAATATCCGCTCTTTGAAGGCTGCCCCAGTAGTCGTTTACATCCCTGCGATTTCCGCCCATTAATGCAGGACGTCCACCGATTGTTAGCAAGGCCAGGAACAGGCTTTGTCCATTCGGTCTCACTGACCGCGACCCCACGAAGAGGAAAGTTTGTCCATTTGTAATGGTCATGAATAGACACTCCAAACATCCTTTGATCCTACTGCAGTTAGCTCTTCTGTTTTCGCCAGTGACCAGGCTCACTTGCATTCAGCACAACAGAAGACTGGACACACTTTTTTGTCCAACACTTTGAAGGAATTGAAATCCACACAAACTGTTGGAAATGTGTGACATATTCACTTCCAGTCAAGACAGATGTAACTGTCAACCTCTTCCAAGCTAAAACGTCCAATTTGGGCCGCAGGCACAAGAAAAATCGAAAATGGCAATACTTAAAATCACTTTTACCAGAAATTCTACTTTCATCAAAGTACTAGAAAATCTGAAGAAATCCAGAGGGTCTGAAGAAATTTTGCATTTTTCCTATTCGTTCATTAGTTTCGTAAGAAACGAAGTGCATGTTATATCGTGCTTTCTACGTTAAAACTGTTAATTGCTGGTGTTAATTGGGGCCGGGAGATGCCAGAAGGGGGAGGGTTCCTCTGGTCGCACCGAGCAATGACGGGGGAGCGTGAGGAAATTGAGTTATAAACAATCTTAAGCCAAAATGCTGTAACGAATGATGACGGCGCATGAATGTACGGTACAATCTATAGAGTTTAACTT